CACACACACACACACACACACACACACACACACACACACACACACACCGTGCGACCCGCCCTGTGACTCTAAGAACCTTGATCATGTAAAAACTGAGCCAACGACGCCTCGCACCCTTTCATTCCTCCCCCCTTCTTTATCTGCAAGCGCCCTGCATCTTTAAGTCTCAGAAAACAAGGCGAGAGGGGAGGGAGGTGAAGGAAGAGAGGGAGGAAGAAGAGAAAAGCAGCAAGGATAGGATGGGAAGGAGAGAGGAGGTAGAGATGATGAGAGAGGAGAAGGGGGGAAGGAGAGAGGAGAAAAGATGGAGGAAAGAGTGGGGGGGAGGATGTGAGGAAAGAAGCAAAGAGGGAGGACAAAGACGAACGGGGGGAAAAGAGAAGATGAGAGAAGAGAAAGTGACATGTAAAGACTTTTAGAGAAGATGCCCCCCCCCCCCTCTAACTGTAACCAGTTGATGCATAGCGCCCCCTGCGCTTTTAAATGAAAACTGCACACACGGCACCACTCGAGCTCGCTTTAACAGAAGCCACTGATGGGGAGGTGCTCAGTTCAGGCACGTTTAGACTTGCTACTTTCCATCCGAGATGAATAAAAGGCCTAAATATGTGAGGAAAGAAGACAGACGTCGGTGAATTAAAGAAGTAAAGAAGGACAGAAGCACGGAAGAAGGGGAGGAGACAAAGGGAACATGGAAAGGACAAAACAAAGGAAATAAGTGAAGATACAGTAAATTAAATACTGATGGGTCTGACATGAAGGACGAAGGGGGGGGTAAATATTATTAACCTTCCGAACCCCAAAACCCACCAGCAGGATTGAAAAGCATGTTTTCTTTAAACAATAATTTATATGCAGAAGCCAAAACTAAGTTTTAATTTTGATGTTTAATTAAAAACTCCCCCCAGAGAAATTCAGCTTGATTTTTGGCAGATGGTTTCATATCTTCTGGCTATGATACAGTGTTTGTTATTGTCCTGCCGGCGGGTGTTGGGGTTCAGAGGGTCAAAGCCAAGTGTGCTTATTTAGAAACTAGACGACGACACTCACCCTCGCACTCCTTGACGTCAGTGTTGAGCTGGTGCAGAGCTCCCATGGAGATCTGTCTGACCTCCGGGTCGAGCGGGAGCTGCGTCAGGGAGGTGGAGATGTGTTTACAGGCAGACATGCAGGCTGTCTGGGCCACTTTACCCTGAGAGGGAGAGAGAGGGGGGAGAGAGGGGGAGGCAGAGAGCGAGGGGTGAGGTCTCGGTGACAACGCTTCTTCTTCTCTTTAATCTAAACAAACCACAAATAAACCACTTCCTGTGTACATCCGAGCATTATTTTCCAGACATACTTTATCAGTTGAGAACAGCAAAAGCTTTCATGAACTACACATAAACACTGAATGAAAGTGACGAACCAAACATGCATACATGCACGCACATTGGTAATCAGAAGGAGATCCCCCCCCCCCCCCCCCACACACACACACACACACACAGTGAGCATTAATCAAGTGTGCTGTGTTCAGGTGCAGTCAGAATGATGAAGTAGCATAATAGGAATAAAAGCAGCGGATGAGGAAGTACATGACAACGCATTAATACAGAAACCCAAACATGTGTTTGTGTGGGTTTGATTGAGTGTGTGTGTGAAGTCTGGGTGACCAGCCGTGGCCTTGACCTCGACGTCTGCATTCCAACAGAATGAAGCAAAGAGATGAAAATGAGGTAAAAGGAGAGAGAGACAGAGAGAGAGAGAGAGAGAGAACACACACAAACACACCTACATGTGATTAACAAACATTACTCACACAAACCCACCGTGTGCAAATGTACACACAATCAGACACAAAGATAATCATGTAATTGTGCTCTAATCACATATATGAGACTCTGTTTCTTGTGTTATTGCATTTGTAAATGTTGTCATCAGTCACTGTGAATGTAGTTTACCCAGAAATCTGTGCTTTGACTTTAACTCTTTCGACTCAAATTAAAAAGCTCCATTATTTGTTTTAAACTCCAATATTTCCAAGTTAAAATATGGGATTTGTTTTCTAATTGAGCAACAGCAAGCAGTCTTGATAGTGCCGCCGTTTCACAGAGCAAGAGGGTTCAGAATGGATGAAGCTATCCTATTAGCTTATTAGCTGTGACGCACCATCCAGTTGTTGTTAAGCCTCCTCTGTATAAACTCCACATAGTGCTGCATTCACATGGGATCAGCCTGTAGACGAACAACAACTTGCTATGATGATGGAATCAAATATATTAAAAACACTTATTTCCCCGTCTACTATTTTATGGAATTATTATAATAATGCCTGTAGCTATAAAATGCAGCTTTATCTTATTATTCAAACTTAAATAACCCTTTCCAGTGTTAAGGAAGCTACGTAACATCTGGTTGTACATCCTGTTGCATCGGACAACAAAAGGTTATTTTAACTTTGGACAACAATGCCGTTACCATCACTCTCTGAAAACCACCAGCTAATGCAAAGAGATTAATAAATAAAGCAACATGTGCGACACACTAATATTCCTGTGAAGTAATCCAGTCGTTAGAATTCTGAGAAGCGGTCAAACTGTTCCTGGAATACAACGTAACAATAAAGAAGTGCAATTCAATTAAGTGATCATTTCAGTGACATACTTTCATACAATTTCCTCTGTTTGTTCTCCAGACAGCAGCTCAGCTCGCCCGCCGCTGTAATAAACCGGTTTCCCCTCCGAGATCCATTAAATGAATCTTATCTTATATAACAAACCCGACAGCGGCAGAAAAGATCCCATTGTAGCCGGGAGTGAAACCTCAGGAAAGAGTCTGGAGCGCAGTTCATTCAGGAGGCAGCGCTCACCTCAAAGGGAAATCAAATTACACACACACACGGCGCACACGTGCGAGCACACATGTTGGAGAAACACACACCTACGACTGGCCGGATATCCTCCAATGCGATGCTGGCCTCTGAACTCTGTCTCCACACACACACACACACACACACACACACACACACACACACACACAC